AAGAAATGCCTATATCATCTCCTAGCCTAACGATACTTAATCATTTTGCTTCGACTCACACACGGGGCAAATTTTAGACTAGCATGGGATGGCACAAAGTACAACTCAAACTTCTCACCTCGTATAATGAACATGACCTACTCAAGACGGCTCAGACCTGACTCTCAAGTTAAAGCAGCTAAGCACAGTCATCATAGAACTAAATCATATAGGAAGTACATAACAGGAGTCAAAAGATGAGCCCAAGAGTCAAAGTAAAGTCACATATATTCTCAAGGCACATAATCACAAGAATTACGAGGAAAGTACTAAGCACAAATGCTCCAGGTCTAAGCCCCGATATAAAATATGTCATGAAGCACAATACTCAATCTCTTCCCATTCCAATATCAGTTCAAAACAAACAAAGGAAAAGTTTTTTTTTAGACTTTAAACCCTCAAGAAATCTGTCTAGGCAATCCATCATCGGGCAAAGTCTACAAATTCTTTTAAAAGTTTGAGAAAGAAAAAAAAACTACCTAAGACTATCCGGTTCAAAAAAATGGCATCCTCGGAAAAGAACCGTGGTTTAAAGAAAATCCGAAATTACGCCAATAAAAAGCTAACTACAATTATACAATTACAATGGCCTTGAGTGTGATCATAGCAAAATATATCACTAACAATTAAACACATGCTGCCACAAAAATTAAATTCTGACACCCCCACCCCACACTTAAGAGAGTGCACTGTCCCCAGTTGCACAATATCACATAAACATACAATAAATGATTAATAGTATAGTGGGTGTCAGAAACTCCCTCATCATATCTCAGGCTGCTCAGTGCTCAGGTTGGTGGCCTCAGTGTCCACCTCAGAAGTTCCAGTCTTTTCCTTAGCATGCCTAGCCTTTGTTTGTGCCTCTGTAGCACCCTTCTCCACTACATTCTTGTCACTTGGTGGTTTCTTTGAGGGTGGCTTACCACTACCACAAGCTCCATGGCTTCTAGTTGGTGTTTTAAAGACGGCCATATCACCTGCAAAAGATACAAAACACATATTAGTATAATATGTAACATTGAGTCATAGCAGTATACATTGCACCCCACACTTAGCCCGAAAGCATAAGTGTGCAACCAGGGTACACGTGTCTACTACCACTTAATTGCATTGATATAAGATTACTTAGCATCATTGAAAATCAAGTGGGTAGGACGATGCACACGTCGTGCACGAGTCGTGCCTAAGTTGGTCGCGGGTTGACATTCGTTCTAAAATGAATGCAATTTAAGTGCAAAGACCCCAAACGGCTACTCCACACTCAAGAGATGTTGATATTACCAAAACAATGAGTCTTGCTACTCAGACTTCGCAAAACCTATCAAAATTCTCATTCGGGCAGTTTTTCGAACACCTTATATGCATAATATTTACCATCATGTTTCAATGCAAGTAACATGTGTTTTGCCCTCCCAATTTGAGTGAGGTGGTGGAAATTATAGTTTGTCACCTCACTATGCACAACAACCAACAAAATCTTGAGCAAACTATGCTCTAAAATTCGAAATTCAATTACCTACTAAAATAAACCATATCAAAAAAGAAGGAGAAAAGCAAAAAATAAACCTAAGGGAAACGGGAGGGGTCTGTTACATGGGGGAAGGGATAGGAACGAGCAGAAAAGAAGAGGGGAGGGTCTTACCAGTTCGTACGAGGGATTAGGGGGGTCTTGGTGTGAGAGGGAGAGGCAAAAGCGGGGCTTGAGGGTTGGGAATAGAGAGGACAGGAAACTGGAGGGGTATGTTATGTTGGGAGAGAGAACAAGGGTTGGGGGTGTTTGAAATAACATACCTGGGAAACAAAATTAGCCGAAAATAAAGAAAAACAATTTTGCAAAGTGGGGCGCGCCATGCCCCCACTTTACTATTTTTTTTTCGTTTGGCTGGCCTAGGCCGCGTCTGCCTTCGCGCGAGGAGCAGATTTAGACGAGCCCAGTGCTAGCCATTTTTTCAGCTTTTCAAATTTAGCCACCTTCGGCCTTTTGTCATGATTTCTTTACCCCGAGTCATTCCAATTCGCACAATCTCATTCCTGCAACATTCATAAACATGTCAATACTTCCACAATTTAAAACCAAACACGAAAAATAAAGAAAAACACAAATTGGGTTGCCTCCCAACAAGCACTTGATTTAACGTCGCGACACGATGAATTACAACAAAACCATGGGTTGCCTCCCAAGAAGCGCCTGATTTAACATCACGGCACGACTCGAGCTATTCCTTATTAAGGGTTTTTCAAGTACAAGGTCGAGATCACTTTATCTTCCTCAACCATGCCTTGATAATGTTTTAGGCTTTGCACATTAACTTTGAACTTGCGGGATCCATCTTACGATGTAATCTCGATGGCTCCAGTTGAATGCATCTCTACCACGCGAAATGGTCCTGACCATCTTGACTTCAACTTGCCCGGAAATAATTTCAATCTCGAATTGTATAGCAATACCACATCTCCAGGTTTAAAACTCCGCTCAAGAATATTTTTGTCATGCATCATCTTCATTCTCTCCTTGTATAGTCTTGTGCTATCAAAAGCATGGTAGCGGAACTCATCAAGCTCATGCAACTCTATGACTCTACTTGTACTCATATCTTCTATATTGAGATTCAGTTGCCTCAATGCCCACAAAGCTCTATGCTCCAACTCCACGGGTAAGTGACATGCCTTCCCAAACACCAATTTATACGGCGACATGCCAATCAAAGTTTTGAAAGCGGTACGATAAGACAAGAATGCATCATCTAACATTCTCGCCTAATCCGTTCTTGTAGCATTCACGGTCTTTGTCAAAACGCTCTTTATCTCTCTGTTCGAAACTTCCACTTGCCCACTCGTTTGTGGATAATATGGGATGGCAACCTTGTGGCACACACTATATTTTTCTAACAACTTTGCGAAAGCTCGATTGCAAAAAGGAGTGCCTCCATCACTGATTATTGCCCTTGGAGTGCCAAATCGGGTGAATATATTCTTTCTCAAAAAACCAATGATTCTATTTGCATCATTTGTAGGGAGCAACACAACCTCTACCCATTTTGACACATAGTCCACAGCTACAAGTATGTATTTGTTGCCATATTAGCTGACAAAAGGCCCTATGAAATCACTTTCCCACACATCAAACACTTCCACCTCCTGAATTGGGTTCATGAGCATCTCATGTCGGCGGGAAATATTCCCGGTCCGTTGGCATTCATCACAACCCTTCACCTAGAAGTGTGCATCTTTGAACAATGTCGGCCAGTAGAAGCCCGACTCCAACACTTTTGCAGTTGGCATTGCTCCCCCGAAATGGCCACCATATGGGGATGCGTGACAAGCCTGCAAAATAGAAGATTGGTCTATCTCGGGAATACATTCTGGATCATGTTATCAACACAAATCCTGAATAGATAAGGCTCATCCCAAAAGTACATACGATAATTACGGAAGAACTTTTTCTTTTGTACAGAGGATAGGTCGTGGGGAATAATACCGCTTGCCAGGTAGTTTGCAATATCTGCATACTATGGCGCTACCTCAAGGCTTGTGGCCAACCGTTGTTCATCCGGGAAAGTTTTAACGATCTCGTCTACCTCAACCTTCTTCTCTGCTCCTTCCAACCTGGACAAGTGATCCGCCACTTGGTTCTCCGTTCCCTTTCTGTCATGGATTTCCAGGTCAAATTTATGTAGTAGCAGCACCCATCAAATCAGGCACGACTTTGAATCCTTCTTCTCAATTAGGTACCTGAGGGAAGCATGGTCAGTATAAACAATTACCTTCGAGCCTATCAGGTATGACCTGAATTTGTCAAATGCGAACATCACTGCTAGCATCTCCTTCTCGGTCATTGTGTAGTTTAGTTGGGCACCACTCAGGGTTCTACTTGCATAGTATATTGAGTGTATGACCTTCTCCTTTCGCTGCCCCGGTACTGCTCCTATAGCATAATCGCTTGCATCGCACATCAGCTCAAATGGTTGTTCCCAGTAGGGTGCAACTATGATAGGTGCAGACACCAGCCTCTTCTTCAATTCCTCAAAAGTTACCCTGCAGTCATCAGAAAACACAAAGGGGTGATCTTTTTCAAGCAATTTACACAAAGGGTTAGCAATCTTGGAAAAATCTTTTATAAACCGCCTGTAGAAATCGGCATGGCCAAGGAAACTTCTTATTGCCTTGATGGAAGTGAGTGGTGGCAAATTTTCTATTACCTCAACCTTTGCACGATCCACCTCAATGCCCTTACTTGACACTAGGTGCACCAAGACTATACCTTCCTGTACCATGAAATGGCTCTTTTCCCAGTTTAGAACCAAATTAGTCTCTATACATCTCTTCAACACTCTTTTCAGATTCCTAAGGCAGTCATCGAACGAGTTTATCACCACTGAGAAATCATCCATAAAGACTTCCATTATGTCCTTTACCATATCTGCGAAGATGGCCATCATGTACCTTGGAATGTGGCGGGTGCATTGCATAGATCAAATGACATTCTCAGGAAAGCGTAGATTCCATATGGACAGGTGAATGATGTTTTCTCTCTATCCTCCGGGGCAATAGAGATCTGATTATACCCCAAGTATCCATCCAAAAAGCAGAAGTGGGACCTCCCTGCCAATCTATCTACCATCTGATCAATAAACAACAGGGGAAAATGGTCTTTTCGGGTGGTCTTGTTCAATCTTCTATAGTCCATACAAATTCGCCATCTCGTGACTGTTCTTGTTGAGATCAACTCATTGTTCTTGTTTTGCACCACAGTCATTCCACCTTTCTTTGGCACGCACTGAACTAGGCTAATCCAGTTATTGTCGGAGATGGGGAAAATGATTTCTGCATCTAACCACTTGATCACTTCCTTCTTCATGACTTCTTTCATGTTGGGGTTCAGCTTTCTTTGATGTTCTCTAGAAGGTTTGTGCCCATCTTTCAGTAAAATCTTATGCATACAGAAGGTCGGGCTGATACCCTTAATATCTGCAATGGTCCAACCAATTGCAGTCTTGCACTCCATTAACACCTGCAAAAGTTGTTTTGCCTGCACATCTAACAAACCAGATGAGATAATAATGGGTAAAGTTGAGTTAGGTCCCAAGGAAGCATACATGAGGTGAGATGGTAGCGGTTTTAGTTCCAACTGTTGTGGCTCTTCGATCAATGGCTTAGCTGGAGGGGTCTTTCTTTCTTCTAAGTGTAAAGACTCGAATTTGAGCTCTCTTTTCCAGTACCCTTGGCCTTTAAGAGCCAACACCCACTCTGCCAAGTCCTCACCATTTACCTATTCTAAGTTCATGAGGCATGCCGTAAGAGGGTCGTTTGTATTAAGTGCCTCATCACCTTCCTCCATGATCACATCCACAGCTTCTATCAAATTGCAATTTGCAAACTCACTGGGTCACCGCATGGACTTTTGCACATTAAATGTTATTTCTTTATTATTCAGCCTCATCTTTAAATCCTCACTTTCACAATCAATCAAAGCTCTTCCTGTGGTCAAGAATGGCCTTCCCAAAATTATGGGAATCTCCTCATCAACCTGGCAGTCCAGAATGACAAAATCTGCCGGAAACACAAACTTTCCAACTTGCATAAGTACATCGTCAAGTATACCTAATGGACTTTTCACCATTCGATCAGCTAGTTGTAGTAACATGGATGTGGGCCTTGCTCTTCCAATGCCTAACTTTTTATAGATAGCCAATAGCATCAGATTTATGCTCGCCCCCAAATCACACAATGCTTTGGCGAATGCATAGCTACCTATGGTGCATGGAATTGTGAAGCTTCCAGGGTCAGATAGCTTCTCAGCTATAGGTCTTGTCACAATAGCACTACAGGTTTGAGTCAATGTCACAGTTTCCAAGTCTTGAAAGTCAAACTTGCGTGACATCAAGTCCTTCATCATTTTTGCATACCCGGGCATCTCCCTCAAAGCATCAATTAGAGGAATGTTTACATGAATTTGCTTCAAAGTTTCCATGAATTTTTTGTATTGTTCATCCTTCTGATATTTAGCCAACCTCTGCGCGAAGGGTGCTGGAGGTCGCTTACTTCCTGTGACTTGAGTTAGATCCTGCTCCGGCACTTTTTCCGATGCCTTCTCTTGCACTTTCTCAGTCTCCTTTGCAACCTCTTTTTCTTTGCTTGTTTCCTCTTGTGCATGTTGTACCGTTACCTTTGTTAACCCCGTTGAATCATCTACCTCAATTGGTACTGGCACAAGTATCTCAGTTGGTCGGCTTTCGCGAGCAATTTCTTGCTTTTGATCAAAATCTCTACCATTTCATAGACTCACCGCCATAAGCTGCTTCGGGCCCTACTCTTTTAGATTGACATGTGTGTCCATAGGTAACGTCTCTTAGGGACGATTATTCATATCCATAGATATCTGCCTTAATTGAATCTCAATGCCTTTTATCGCTGAGTCATGTGCTTCAACCTTCTCTTGCATTTTTTCATTAGACCCAATCAGTTGTTGCAACATCCTTTTAATTTCAGATAACTAATCATCTTGTCTCACTATCTGTTGTTGTTGATGCTGCTGATAAGCTAGCTGTTGATTTTGCTGATTGTATCCTTATTGCCTTTGGTAAGGCACGACTTGACCCTGTGGTCGCATAACTCCAGGATTAGTGCTATTATTGTACTGCTGTTGTGCTAGCCTATATTGTTGATTCTGTTGTCCCCAAGTCTAACCACCTTGTCTCTGGCCTCCATAGTTGCCCACATAGTTCATATTCTCCTGATAGTTATGGTTGTCACTTTCACCACTCCACGAGCACACATATGGTTGGTTAATGCATGGTGTACATAAGCCCCCATTAGTCGTGTCAACTATGTGTACCTGCTTCTGGCCTGATTCATCAATCTTCTTAGTGAGGATACTCATTTGCGTCATCATCGTAGCCATATTCTGGGCTATGGAGTTATTTGGGTCCAAAGCTACTGAGTGAACTACAGGGGTGATTGTAGTGTCTCTTGTCATCCATCCTGAGTTTTGAGCCATTTTATCTAGCAGGACCTTACACTCTCTGAAAGTTTTGCTAAAAAAAATGCTCCACCTGCTGAAGTATTAATGTTGGCCTTCAAGCTATCTGCCAATCCAATGTAAAACCTTTGTCCCAACATCTGATTTGGAATTCCATGATGTGGACACTTAACTAGCATCCCTTTGAACCTCTCCCACATTTCTTATAGTGTTTCAGCTGGTTTCTGCCTAAAGCTCAATATCTCATCAACTTGCTTGGTAGTTTTATTGGGTGGGTAGAACTTGTTCAAAAACTGCTTGACTATTTCCTCCCAAGTGGTGATGGAGTTTATGAGGAGCGAATTGAGCTAAGTTTGAGCTTCTCCAGTCACTGAGAATGGAAACAGTAATAGTCTAATTACTTCCAGTGTCATATTCGGTTGCCTTTGAGTGATACAAATTGACAAAACATTTTTCAGATGATGCTGTGGATCTTCAATGTAAGACCCGGAGAACAGTCCCTTGTTCTGCAACAGATATTGCATGTTGTTTGTGATTTGAAATGACTCTGCTTGTATCTAAGGGACTGAAATTTCGGTTGCTAGATTTTCAGTGGTGGGTTATGCCCAATCATACAAGGCCGCTTCTGGCATAAGAGGTGCCACACCTTGATTTTTGGGTCATTCCCATTATTTCTGTTGTTTGGGTTGTCTATTACGTCACCCATGTTGTAACGACCCGGCCGGTCGTTTGGAGAGTTAGAGATTCGAGCCCCTATTAATTGTTTTCCCTATATCTATTTCTGCTATTGTGACTTGCCGGGATGATTGGTTTTGAGTTTCGGAGTGTTTTGGGACACTTAGTCCCTAAATGAGAGCTTAAGCCTTAGGATTTGGACCGTAGTCGGAACTGTATGAAGACGACTCCGGAATGAAATTCCGTCGGTTCCGTTAGCTCTGTTAGGTGAATTTGGGTTTAGGGGCGTGTCCAGATTGTGTTTTGGAGCTCTATAACTGATTTAGGCTTGAAATGGCGAATGTCGAATTTTTGGAGTTTTGGGCCGGTAGTGGAATTTTTGATATCGGGGTTATTTTCCAATTCCGGAAGTTGGAGTAGGTCCGTAATGTTGATTATGACTTGTGCAAAATTTGAGGTCAATCAGACGTGATTTGATAGGTTTCGGCATCAGTTGTAGAATTTTGAAGTTTTAAGTTCTTTAAGTTTGAATTGGAGGGTGATTCGTGATTTTAGAATTGTTTGATGTGATTTGAGAGCTCGACTAAGTTCGTATGGTATTTTAGGAGTGGTTGGTATGTTTGGTCGAGGTCCCGGGGGGCCTCGGGTGAGTTTCGGATGCTTAACGGATCACTTTTGGACTTTGGAAGATTGCAGATTTCTGGTGTTCTATTGCAGGCATTTTCTTCATCGCGTTCGCGAAGGAGTCCTCGCGTTCGCGTAAGGTATCTGGGAAGGGCATCTGAATTACTCTTCGCATCCGTGATGTCGCAATCGCATTCGCGAAGGTGTGGAACCTCGAAGCTACGCGTTCGAGACATGGTCCTCGCGTTCGCGAAGAAGAACTGGAGGCAGGCGAGATTTCGTGCTTCGCGTTCGCAATGGAGATCCCGCGTTCGCAAAGGGTCAAGCTGAGTGGTCTTCGCATTCGCGACATATGCATCGCGTTCGCGATGGAGGAATTTTGGGCCGAAGAAAATTGTACTTTGCGAACGAGAGGGTGTGGCCGCGTTCGCGAAGAAGGACGCGTCTGGGCAGTATTAAAGTTTCCAAAAACGGGGGTTGTGCCATTTTTATCAAAAACTTGAGTTGGGAGCTCGGATTTTGGACGAGGGATTGAGGGATTGAGGGATTTTCAGAGTTATCGATTGGGTAACGATTCTTAACTCCTTTATGGTTATATTCCACTAATCTATGCTTGAATGCATCGTTTAATTTCGGATTTGGGGTGAAAATTGAGAAACGTTCTTGGCCGAATTTTGGGGTTTTGATCGAGATTTTGGTATTGGATTTGAGCAATTTTGGTACGAGTAAACTCGTGAGTGAATGGGTGTTCGTATTTTGTGACTTTTACCCGATTCCAAGACGTGGGCCCCACAGGCGATTTTTGAGTTAGTTTCGGAATTTTTGTTAAAATGTTGATTTCATTAATTAGATGAGTCTATTATGGTTGTATTTATGATATGTAATTGTTTTGGCTAGATTTGGTCCATTCAGAGCCGGATATTCGTGGGAAAGGCATGGTGACTGATTGATTGAGCTTGGTTCGAGGTAAGTGGCTTGTCTAACCTTGTGTTGGGGACTTTCCCCTTAGGATATTTCGATATTATTTGGTGTGTGGGCACCGTGTACGTGAGGTGACGAGTATGTACACGGGATGTTATTGCAAAAATCCCATTTATCCTTTTAAAATCATAAATCGTTTCTCTTATTGAATTTGCACTAATATGTTTAATTGTTTAGTTTAGACTAGAAAAGCATGGTTACGTGTTTTAACTGCCTAATTGACATTCTGTGCGCCATGCTTAGTTAAATCCCTATTTTCCTTATCTGTGATTAGTGTAAACTGTATGATTCGAGGCCATACCTGTCATTTTATCTTGCATTGCATATTTACTTTGGGACTACGAACGTATTCCGGGAGATCCCCCAGCACTGCATAATTACTTTGGGACTACAGACGTATTTCGGGAGATCCCCCAGCACTACATATTTACTTTGGGACTACGGACATATTCCGGGAGATCCCCCTGTACTGCATATTCATTCGGAACTACGGGAGATTCCCCATTGTGTTTACTTCGTTCTGAGCCGAGGGCTCCTTTAACTGTTAAATTTTCGAGAATTTCTTTAACTGTGTTACTGTAAATTTTACTTATATATTTTACTGTTTAATTTATTATATTTACTCCGGTAGGGCGTTTACCTAACCTCGTCACTACTTGATTGAGGTTAGTCTTGGCACTTACTGGGTACCATTGTGGTGTACTCATGCTACTCTCTGCACATGTTTTTCGTGTCCAGATCTAGGTGCACCTTATCAGCCGTACTATCAGTGAGCTGGGACAACTTTGGAGACTTCAAGGTATATCTGCCGCGTCCGCAGACCTCATAGTCCCCTTCTACTCTTTCTCATGTCCATTATTTTATGTATCTTCCTTGTTATATTATGATGTATAGATACACTAGACTTTTCCTTCTGTAGTTTGTGATTCACGATGTTCCGGGTTTTGGGGATTGTTGTATATTTTTGAATAGTTGGTTAAATTTATATTTTTGTTTCATTATTCCGCAAAGTGTTAGGCTTACCTAGTTGTAGAGACTAGGTGCCGCCACGACGTCACACGGAGGGGAAATTAGGTCGTGACACATGTCTAGTTCGATTTGTTTTGTTGAGTTCTGTTGTCGTTTGTCCTTCTTGTTTACACGATTTAATGCCTTGAAAGCTTTCTCAGGATCCGATAATACTTCAAACAATTCACCAGTTCTTGTGGAGTTTTTAGGCATGCACCTGTAATCCCCAAGACTACAAATGTTAGAATTTCAATAAACTGAATTTTAAATGAATAAAATTGACTAAACTAAGAATCCTAGCAATTCTTCTAGATGTAATTAATAAAACCATTAATTCCTCGGCAACGGCGCCAAAATTTGATCACGCCCAACTATGCCTTATAAAAAGGACTAAGCGGTCATTGCAAATATAATCTGGTTTACAACTTCGGAGTCGCATCCCACAGGGAATTAACCTACTAATCACAACTGCTAGTTTCGCAAGAATTCAAGTAATCAACTTTCAGAAATATTGAATAATGAGTTGAGTGTTTACTAACTAAAAGCAAGGTAATTAAAAAGCTGTAATTTTATTACTAACAAAGCAAATGTTGTAGACAAGATTGGAAAGGTCTAGGGTTACGATTTCCCCTCTTATCGGAATCCTCCCTGCTACGTCTCCTATAAATTCGCCTAGATACTCTCTACCGATCGTGAGCACTTTAGGTGTTTTAATTCTCTTTCGAGCAAATAAAAAAATTTACTCGACGTATTCTTCTGAACTACGCTAGCTGACACTACTTTATCGCTCACTAAGACCGCACCAATGTTTTGTTATTCCTAATCCCACCTTTAAACCCTCTGTATTGATCCCTCATATACGTTAGGAGTGATATTGTTCAACAACTACCTAAATATATACCCTTTTCCAAGTAATACACACTAAATAGGCATAGTCAATTGCAGGCCCTTCAATTAACCATAATAATCATGTAGTGGAAAGAGTAGAGAAAATCCAAAGGCAAACTTATATTAAATACAACAAAAATTCATCCTCCAAGAGGTTCCATCAAACCCTAGAATAAAGATTTTAGCTACTCATAATTGTTTTCACAACTACAATATAAGAATTCATCACCAATAATATAAAAGGAAAGAAAAAAGATAAAAACTCGTTTCTGAATCTTCTGTCTTTCTCCTTGCTTGTTCTTGCCTTCAAAGATGTTGTGTAACACTTAAAAAAGTCATTCTTTGATGTATTTATATCACTTAGGGTTGCTAAGGGGCGGAACGTTTCAATCCCTTTTCGGATGGGAAAAGCTGGAATCCGCGTCTGCCTTCGCGCGCCGCGCGCATTGACGCGGATTCAGCTTTTGAAATTCTTCCATTTCGCAAAGCGATCTGTGCCTTGTCTTCACTTAGCTGTTTTGTGCCTTCACCTTTCTCCTTTTTCGCATCCATTTTCGTGCCACGCACTGATTGGGTCCTAACCTACACCACTATTGAGTAGCGAGGATGGTCGATGCAGTTTTACCCGACAAGGTCGGGATCGATTTCCAAAGGGAGTTAATTGATTTGGAATTAGGTTTATATCTTAGTCTATATACGTGTGTTGTTCCTAATTGCACTTCCAAATATGATGGTGTTGATTCTATTTCTATTGTATGCTAAGATTAAAGCTAAGTACAATATTTTTGATGTTGGTTTTCAAGTGTTTAAAAGGACGATGGTAGTGACTTTCGCCTAGGTGGACATCTAACAGGTAGTAAGAATCTAGGGCAAGCTTGATTAATTTGGGATTGTAATATAGCCATCACACCCAAGTACTCACTCTATATCTCTCGATAGTTTGAGTGATTTTGCCCAGTTTGGCTTTCTCAAGTCCAACTGGGTATTCATGCAAGTCGTGTGATATTAGCTCAAGTCGGGTATTACTATCTCTAGGATTAACCCTTTAATTTGGGCTATCAATTTCTTGAGTTCATCCCAATTCCTTGTTAGCCTAGTTTTCCCAAACTTAATCCCTCTTTCTCAAGAAGAGACTAAATCATAAAGGCATGAATCAGTGTTTGCAACCACTAATTCTATAATTCTAGCAAGAACTAAGCTAAATATCACTAACCTATAAACATTTAAGCCCTAAAATTCAAGACCCATTAAATACCCACACTAGGGTTGAGTCACAACCCTAGCTATGAGTCTAGCTACTCATAATAATAGCAGAAATCAAAGATAAGGAGAAGATATAATCCATAATACAAAATTAAAAGATGAAAATCTAATGTTATAAAGTAAATCTTGTACAAAATTTCCCAAAAAGGAAAACCTAGACGTCTCACGTACTCAGTAAAAACATAACATAACCTAGAATTGACAAAAAGATCTATTTATACTAAGCTGAAATTTCCGAACAAAAATACCCCTGCGGAAGTTTCGCGGCTTCGTAATTCTGACCGCGACCGCACACTTGCTTTCGCGGCCGTGTAATTCTAAACGTGGCCCGCGTTTCTTCACATCTGGACCTGGGTTAAACCTTGTTTTGCGAATTGAAAAATTTCTACCGCGTCCGCGTGAGAGACTTACGCGGCCGCGTAACTTTGACATGGACCGCCCTTCTCATTTTTGCTTGAATTATGCACTCTCTGATCCTTAGCAACCGCGGTCCGCGAAATTCCCATCACGGTCGTGCTGGTACTTTCGCGGCCGCATCTTCTTATCACGGTCTGCGTTCATGTTTGTGCCTAAAAAAACTCTCTCTGATTCTTCATATCGCAGACCACGAAATAATGGCCGCGTCCACGTTGATACTTTTGCGGCCGCACTTTTTTGTCGCGGTCTGCGTTCCACACCTCTTGGTCCAGTTTTGGTTTTTGTTCAAGTTTTGACTCCTTTATGAGTTGATTATGGCTCCTTTGGCTCATTTTGAACAATCCTTGCAAGCAAGCATATTAAGTTAGTTTCTAGGAATACCTTCACGCATTTTAGGCCCAAAACACAAGTAAAAGAGAGCAATTAATAGGCTAAAATCCCTACTTATCAACTCCCCCAAACTTAAGCTTTTGCTTGTCCTTAAGGAAATAAAGTAATTCCCACCTCCACAAGAAAAAGAAAAGGATATTTCAGTTGGCCTAAGGTGCCTTTATCAAGCATCAATTGGAACTAACAATTACCCTCAACACAAATGAATTATCAACAACGTTGTGTTATGCCCTTTTTAGTTCCATAGTTCTAATGTGACACTAGAGCATCAAGAGTTGACTCAATTCATCAAGTAAGCTCGCTCTCTCACGTAGGTCATTGTGGATCCTAAACTCCTCCTCCTCTACTCTCCATGAGCAAATCTCGCTTTTTAGAATGTAACCCTCAAAACAAGGATTGTGAAGAAGTGCTCTCATCACTCTCTAAAGAATGCCACAAGTCCGGCTCTAAGTACCATAAGCTTGCCCCTTATGTAAATCACCACTAATGTAAGCTCACTCAACTTGAAATCATATAGGGCTTTAGCAGGGATGTAATGAATGCTTTTGGATCAAGGTAGGACATAACGAACTATGATGGTTTCATCTTTCCTTAAGCACTCCATTTTCTCATTTTGGCTCATACTTTCTTGACCCTTTGAGTCATTTTTCTTCTTCCTTAGGGGAACTAGAGAGACAAACCGTCACTCTTTCTTACTCATGACAATCATTTTTCTCCTTTTCTCATCATTCCTTGCCTTTCATCATTATGTTCTTTGAATCCTTTCAACCTTCTCTTTCTTTTTGACGTATTTCTTTTTGGCTTTTCTTCCTTTTCTTTGCCTTTCCTTTTCAACAATTCTTTTTCTTCTTTGAACCTTTTATCACTTTCAATTTACTCGTCTCTCCCCCAAACTTATGCTTTTGCCAATTTTTCATTATGAATGCTAAGGAAAGATTGGGTGCCAAGAGAGGGTCATTATAGGACGGATAAAGGCTTGTAATGTGGCTATTGAATGAAAAAGGCTTAGGCTCAAAGGAGTTGACTAGGGATTTCATAATGGTAGGCTATGGAAGCTTTCAAAGTTCAACTTGTACCAAGGAGAGCCTACAATCATTTCTCAAGTCGAGCTACACTTAGAATTTCGCCTAGACAAACATTCAGGGAAAGTTCTAGACGTTTTGGCACGGGACTTGGACTTGCAAATCAATACCTCAACTCTCAAGCCGCTGGATTGTTAAAGAGAATAGAGTCGAGAGCCCACAACAACCCTAGCTAAGATTTAAAATCACAAATGGCTCAAGGAAACCACTCGATGATTGTTTTAGCCAACGCAAGAGTCTAAAGGTCACAACTAGAGCTAATCTTTGCCAATCAACTTGTCTCTAACCATGAGGTCGAAGGTAAATGTGTTAGTACCAAGTGAAGCCTGCTTGAGACACTTTTATTCATTACTACTACTATATACACCAAAACAAAAAGAAAACAGACTCGATCCCTTAAGAAGGTTGTCACACCATCCATCATTGGGAAGAGCCACCCGGTTCACACAACCTCCACCTTTAGAAAGAACCGTGACATTAAGAAAACCAAAGGCTTATTGATCACGCAAAATGTAAAAAGAAGCTAAAAAATCAAAAATAAGCTACTAAAGGAAATAAGAAGCTAAGCTATTAAGGAAAAATACGAAAGAAGTTATGAAGTAAACTACGAACAATAAAATGAATAAGTACAATAATGGAGTGAAACAAATATATACAAAATGGAAATGAATATATACATCGAATGGTAAAGTTATATACATACCAAAAGTGAAAAATATTGAAAGTGAAAATAACGATAAATAAAGGTAAAGAAAAATAGTATCATAGTTATTACATACCAATGTCACCAAATCAAAATGGACCCCCTCCCCCCTCCCCCCAAATAAAAGATAGCATTTTCCTCAATGCTAATATCAAAATAAGACCAGTGAAGGGTTAGAGAGTAAAGAAAACTCCCTATGTGGTCTCTGTCTGCATGGGGTCAGGCACATGAGTGGGGTCCTCGGACTGCATAGGATCATCAGCTCCCTTCGGGTCCTCTAACTGGATCTCCAAATCCTCTTACTGGGGGACCACAAATCCTCTAACTGGAGCTCTGCATGCCTCATGCTCTACTACCTGTGTTGCTGGGGCAGTCTCCTCTATAAGCAAGTCAAGTGAGATATCTCTAGCAGAAGTGAACTTCTCTACCTCCTTCTTAGCTTCTCCACTGACTCCTTTGAGGCCTGAGTCTTTCTCATCTTCTTTACCTGCTTGCTCAAATCCTTGATCACCTTGCCATGAGTATCCAAAGTCTCCAGAAACTTCTTTTGGTTGTCCAGGAGCTTCTTCTGGTTGTCCAAAAGCTCCTTCAATGAATCCTCCACTGATGGAGGTACCTGAAGTTGTGTTGGGGCTGACTGTGCTGCTAATGCACTGGATAAGATAGATAGCTTTGATATAGCTGCCTGCATCTAGTTGTTGATGTTGGATAAGGTCTGAGAAACCCGCAGTGCAATCTGGGGGTAAGTTGAAGATGAGGGCACAGATAGTGGCATAGTGATGGATGGCCCGGATGAAGGAGGAGGCATGGCGGCTGAAGGTCCCGCTACTGTGGAAGGCCCTGACCCGGTGGCCACTACCCTTGGCTCTTCAGGCTGGCTAGTAGAGGTAGTGGATTTACCTTTTGCTTTAGGGTTGTCCGGTGCTTGGAGGCTATACCAGGAGAAAGGTTTCTTCGGCTTCACCTTCATGTCATAGTGCTTCCCCTATACCCTTTGGTCCTCGAGATACATAGTGATGAAGTTGGGGTAGGGGTAGGAACTTTCTTCTTTTTCGGTTGCTTTGGAGATGCATTGGGACATGAGGTTCCCCATATTGATTGGATACCCTGCCATGATGGAAGCTATTAGGATCTCCCGGGAGAGTGGGATGACACTATCATGGTGGCTAGGATCAAGCCGGCTGCATACTTGTGCACCACCCTTTGGCTTCAAAGCTGAGGGTGTTTCTGGCAATTGGGACTCCAGCTGCGAGCCAGGCCGGTGTTGTTCCTGCGATGGCTATTACTTCCGCTAGCCAAGGCCGGGTTGCTTCATCTAGGTCCATCTTCTCCAAATACTGTACAGCTTCCACATCCTCAAAACCGGAATATTTGTTCCAGGTGTCGCCATCAAACCGTATCTTCAAGTTCCGTACCTTTATCACAGTGGTGCCCTTTTTGATGTGGGCAACATTTGCGTAGAACTCCTTGACAAGGTACTCATTGGTATCTGGAACCTTGCTGGTGAAGTACTTTCACCATTTTCTCTCCTCAAACTGTCTCTTGACATTTGGATTGTGAGGAAGGAGATCTTTTTCTATAAACTGTCGCTCAAGGGTGAGCGACCTTTGGGGCCACCATTCCTGGAATTTGAGGTATGCTTTCTCGCTCACGAATCTATCCTCCCACACCTCAGGCTTCCTTGATCTAGCAAGACC